CACAAGCTCTGGGGAAGCTGGGGCTCACACGAGCTTTCATGTTCACAGGGACATATGGAAGCTATTCTCACCCCGGCGTTAGACTGCAAGCACAGACACGTGAATGCTATAAGGAGCCTCGATAACCCCTCTCTCCTCAGTCTCTCACTCCAGAATCCAAGAGCGCCTTCCCAGACCATTCGCATTTCACTGGATGTTTCCTACTATGGAGCAAGCAATAATCGGATGCCCCCATGGTGGGAGGCCACTCCTTGCCTACACATCAGTGTTATACAACCCTCACTTAAATTGACTGCAGCACTGAAGCTGCATTCCTGTTGGCAGACTTAGGGAGGAGGGAGGAAGATGCTCTCAGAGCCAGATTTGCTAAAATTGTGATCTTCTGCAAGCTGAGAACAAGCTCTGCCTGGGTTTGCTCTTGCTTTTGGTCTATCCACTGATGTCAGCACAGTCACAAGAAAGGAAGTTAGGCCCATTGAGCATCAGTACCCTCAAGGCCACGCAACTCCAAGGCAGTGCTGTAAAGCTTTACTACAAGTTTGGGATCTAAAAGCAGGCAGAGAAGCCCACTTATGCTCTTTTGTCATTCCCTCCACCCCATCCCACAGAACAGCCCGCCAACTATTGTAGCCAGAGAGCGGAGATCCCTGATAGCTCACACAGTGTCTGCCTCAGGGATAGAACAACTTCAGGAAGTCGACATTTGGGCAGTTTGCACTCATGGGACAGAGGTAGAATAACGCACGCTTTTCCTGTGCATCTTTGCATCAGTGTGTGACACGTGCCAGTACGTGTGCAGCGCCAGCACATGTGTATGCCATTCAATGCATGCTTATTTGGATCTTGGCACATGTGTTGACCTTAACACATGTTTGTGACAACATGTGTGGGCATATGCATGAGCTGGTATGTGTATGGGTGTGTCAACACGCATGGGGAAGGTCAATGCATGTGCATCCATAACAAATAAGATGATACAAGTAATGCCAAATACTTGCGTGTCTGTGTGTCCATGCCCAAATTCCTGTGCGCCTTATCACCTGTGTCAGTGTTCATGTGTGCACACTTTGACCCTTGTGTTTGACAACACATAGGTGATGACGACAAGCCATCAACTGCAGAGCCATTTTGACTACAACTTTTTGGAAACGCTCCACCCAAGGCAGACACCCCCAGAGGAATGTTTCAGCCCAGGTGACAAAGTTTAAACCAACTGAACAAAAACACTATTAGCACAGAGCACATCTGACACCCTTCGTGAGAGGTGCTGCTACCCTCCCTACAGAACATGTGCATGCACGCACGTGCACGCATACAGAGACACAGGCACACCCACTCATTCTGTTTGCTGGACAGCCTCAGGTGGCCCCACTGTTGATAGATCACAAGCCAAAGTCTGCAACGTTCATTTTGTGCGTTGATTGTTTTGCATCGTCCGAATCAAGCTGCCGCTGGATGACACCATCCTGGCAATGACGCACGGCACTCGGCAGCCTCTGCATCTTATCCTCTCTCCTACAACCCCCCCTCGCTTTTCTCCCCCAGATATAAAAGGCTGTTTTAATCCTGTGAGCAATTAAAGAATGGCTTCCCCTCCTCCCCCATCTGTTGTTTTGATGTTCTTTGGTACTAAATCCAGAGCCTGCCATTTACCCCAGGGAGATGCGCAAGGGTGCCAGCAGGTGTTGGGGGTGGGGGGAAACAATGTTTTTGAACAAAACTGTGGATGCTCACTGCTGGCAAGGAGGGACCTCCCAGGAGATCATGATGCCCCACATCAAACAGCTTCCTGAACGTGAGTCACAGACGTTCCCATAGAGCCCGAATGGGAGAGACAAAGGAAAAGGACGGGGTGCAGATTCCCACGGAGGAGCGCCAGGTGCTCCGGGAGCAGCCCAGCTCCCTAGAGCTTCGGATACACGACTTCACAGGCTGGTCTCTCCTCACGTTTCCTCTAAATAAAAGAGTGAGACAGGCGAGAGATTTTTGCCTCGTTTTGAATATTATTCTAGACCCCTGCCTGTTTTCGGCAACCACCTTGTTCACCTGCAGAAAGGTGTGCGCTCGCACTCTCCCATCTATTTTGTGACAAACGGTGAAACGCTCTGTTTTTGCCACAAATCACCAACACATCTCTGTTCCAAGTAGCAGATGCGGCACCTTGTGCCAGATCTCTAATGTCCAGGCCAAATGATCAGTCTGAGAAACTACATTCTGCTTAGGGAAAATTCCCTTTCAAGGTTGGATCGGACAGGGGATGCTCCAACTTCCCCAGTGGCAATTTAGTTCATAAGGTTGTTGGGAGCCATTGTGTTCGCCCCCAAAAGTGGCATCATTTCAGAGCGTGAAATGATCTGCTTGAAGAGGTGATTTTTTGACACAGCGCTCACAGAGTCTTTTGGATCCAAGTCATTATAGCACTGCAGGTTATTAACTAACAATCCCAGCCAACGTCAAGAGCATTTGGAAAGCAAGGAAACCCAAGTTCTGACCAAGGCCAAATGTAACGTCCCATAATGCTAATGCTACAGCTGATCAGTCACCAGCTTTTATTGCTGATGAGTGCCAGTCAAAAGCAAATTGCAGTTTATTGAGTCAAGTCAGTCCCGAGGCTGCTGCGACCATTGGGGCACCTTAGATGCTGTAACAACTCTAGTTGAGTTGCTTTGCACCACTGGCGATTCTTCGGGCAGGGTGACCTGGTGGCGTCCCTCTCCTCACCTGGTAAGGATGGCCATTAGCTTGCATGCTTCTCATTTGCCCTTTGAAGGTCTTATTTTTAGTCCTGCTGGGTGTCCATATATCCTCCTCACCCAGACAAGCCCAAGTGGGAGTACTGGTTTATTCACCGATAACCAGACCATGGAACGGGCTGTACTGGTTTACATAGTACCAGATACCAGACCAAGAAAAGCCTGGCTTGACACTACTGAGAAAGACATCACAGCTCCGAGTTTGTAGTTGGGCAATTGTGCATGCTGATACAAAACAGACACGAGGAGGTGACCTTTGCAGTCACCCGGCTGCATGCCCAGTTCAGGTGGACTCTCAAGGTCCGTAGTTGCAAAGCTCTAGCACATCTATATGAAGCATGGCCAAATTGGGATGCAGTACAGCATGTGTGCACACGTGGGAATGATTTCACACCTTCCACCCTTTCCAGATATTAAACACGTTAGGCCAACAGAAGCCTGGCCTAGTGGCTTCTTATGACTAAGCAACATACACAAGCTAACCTAGCATTTGAAACAGGACCGTCTTATTCAAGGCGAAGGAATTTGACTGCCTTCATCTGCTGCGATTACCCTGCCAGTCAAGCAGATCTGCACTTTCCCCATTTGCAAATCAGCCAAGTGCTCTGATCTGGGGTTTCTGAACACCTGCCACATCCCAAGTTGTAAGTGAGGCTGAATGCTCACCTGTTCACCTCATTTGAAACAAAATCCAGGAGGAAGAAACTGAGACTAAATATCAGAAAGAGAAAAAAAAAAGCTTCTTTGATGGCAGGGCTGAAAATACCTTCTGCGAGAAGGGGAAGATCAGCACCACTTGCCATATTTAACACACGATGACCAAATAAATAGGCAGTACCCCAGGGAGACCAAATAAATGCACAGACCCCAGAGAAAGGCTGACCAACCCAGCCTGAATAGCATTTCTCCACATCTGACTGCTGTGACTATTGCACAAGGAAAGTTCAAATGAAAGAACCTCTCACGCCCTAGTTCACATTGTGCAGTTATGAGCAGCCCCAGGATTTCCCACACCCAGGTAGCAACCACATCCTTTCAGCATAAGTGAAGCATTTCAGAGGACGGTAAAAAAGACAACACAGGAAAGAGGCAAAGCCTTTAGGAGCGAGCACGGTGTGCGTTCCCTCTCTGTACCGCACTGAATCTGCCCTCCTGCACACAAAGGCAGTGCCCATGGCAGACTCACTGCTCCTAGGTCTGTAAAAAGGTACAGAACATAAACTGTAGCCATCACAGTCGGAGCTAGATCTTCCCACACGACCATGCAGGCAGGTAGGGCAGGAAACATTCCCATTGGCATCGATGGAAGTATTAGGTTGGCTGGCCACCCACCCTGCATGGAAACACATACCTGAGCTGTAAGAGTCTGTCGATGCCGAATTGTCCCCATCAGCCATCTTTGGGCTGACAGATAAGGCATTCATGGAAGACAATCATCCGTGACCGCGAAGGATCATTGATGGGTGTTACCGTAGCACAGTGGGGTCCTGGTCTCTGACTGGGGCTCTTCGGTGCTAGGTGCTGTACAAAGCTCTTCTCTCCATAGAGCCAATGCTCCAAGTGGAAGACAGGAGGCAACAGCTGGACACAGAGATAAGGAAGCACGAGGAAACAATTAGATAACGCTGGTCTCCTGCCTAAATAGCACTATTTAATAAGTCACAGGACTGGAGAGGGGGCAAAGAAACCCTCTGTGCTCAAGCACTGTTAAGAGGAGGCCTATTTAGACAGGGAAACAGACTGACCAAGATGCAGATTCCACCTTAGTGGTGAAAATGGAATTTGTCCCTGCTCACGTCCTTAAAAAACTTAATACAAATAGGAGTGGGTCCTCCTCTTTCTCCTCACAGCTCAATCATGAGAACCAAAACGATGGCGTGTTGCACAAGTAGATGTACTAATAGATTCTCAGAGACCTGAGCAGAGTGGAACAGGATTGCACACAGGCACCTCAGTCCACTTTGGCACACAGTGGGAACGTTTACATGAGATGCTTAACTCCCATTAGACTAATTCTACTGCACATTAGCGCAGCTCGCAAAAACTGTGCTAATGCACTAATGTGCAGTACATTAGTCCAATGAGCTTCAAGTATCAAAAACTGTGTTCCTTTGCACTAATGCACAATAGCACCGATTACAGCGCATTAAGTTTAGTACCTGTAATAACTGTTACTAGCTTAAAATGTGACATAATCAGTGCTCCTGAGCAGGTACTTAACTTAATGCTCCATAATTACATTGCACTAATGAACATGTAGATGTGCTCAGCAGGTAGAATAGGATCAGGCCCCTTGCAATTTGCCCAGTCACACAGCAAATAGGATGCAGAGCTGCACACGGAGCCCATTTCTCCTGGTTCTCTCCAGCCGCTAGATCACAGCTTCACGGAGATTGAGCATCCTAATGCAAAGGACAGGGAGGAGGCATGTAAACAGACCAGCTTATTTGACTAGCTCGATCTCTCTCAACCGCCAGGGATGAATCACTGAACAGCACACAATCAAGGAGGGAGCGAGGCGGCAGGAGAAGGCAGCTGCAGTGATGGCACAGCACTGACGTCCCCGACACCAACACACCTGCAGGCATTGAAGTTCTGGGGATGTGAAAAGCGGAGGAAGAAAAACAAACACCGTGAGGCCGTATCGGCCTGCTTATGAAGTAGAGGAACCGATCTCTGGATCTCATCCTGAAAGAGGATGTATGGCTACAGGCGGAGTCGGAAAGACCATGTTCAGCGGGCTCCAGGGAGGCAGCTGAGCTCATCTGGTCCCGCTTAGCTGGATGCAGGGAGCATAAGCAGGTACCTTCACGCATAACCGTGAGCAGCGCCGCTTCCCCATTTCCATCTTTCTGCCCACTCTGAGGCCCCAAGCTGCCTGTCTAATCCCAAGCAGGATTAGACCCCACGTTGCAAGAGATCCTGCAAGAGGGTCGCAGAGACAGGAGCCAAGATCTCAAACTAAGTCAGCAGGTCTCTGGGGGAAGCCGCCCCAGCCCACAGGGCACCATGGATCGGTTCCGGATGATCTTCCAGTACTTCCAGTCTAACTCCGAGTCGGTGATGAATGGGATCTGTGGGCTTCTCGCCCTGGCCAGCGTGAAGATTTATACCTCCTTTGACTTCAACTGCCCCTGCCTGCCCAAGTACAACACGGCGTACGGGATGGGGATCATGTTTGTGCCTCCCATTGCCCTTTTTCTCTGTGGCCTCATTGTCAACAGGCAGTCTGTGGTGATGCTGGAGGAGTGGAAGAGACCGACGGGGGGAAGAAAGAAGGATCTGGCCATCATCAGGTGGGGAAAGCACTGCTGGGAAGGGCTCTGTCCCCTTCACCTCTCTCCTAGCCCTCGGGTTAGCTGCATCTTTGGTCTCCCTGCTGTTTCTTCACTTTCTTCTCAGCTCAGCTCCCAAGAGCTCCCCTCTTATGCACCATGAGCACATTAGCAATCCCAGCCTTATAGCAGAGCCAGTGAATCAGGGAGGGCAAGAGCACAGCAAGTCTTAACACCTTCAGGGAAACAGCAGCATAAAAGAAAGTCCCAGCAGAGGAAGCAGGAACAGCCTGATGAGAGAAGGAGCAAGCATAGGTAGTTGAGAAAATTCATTGTTGACTGCCCCTGGCACACAAGGACGCACAGGGCACTCTGCATTTAAACTGATGTGCCATCCCTGGCTTCAGGAGTTACTCCTGACTTGCACTGGAATAAGAGAGACGGGAGAATCAAGTTGACAGTTAAAATGAGGCAAGAGAGCACAGAAAATAAGCAATTAAAGGAGAGATCATTGGCATTCAAAGGCAAACACTAACACACTACTGATGTCAGGTTAATGCTGACAACGCCATGGGCCAGATGGATGCTGCTTTACGAGACAGACGAGTAGAGATGCATTTTTGGGACAAATAGAGGCATGTGCCCAAATTCCCCGGTTCTTATAGAAATAACGAGTGGCATCCTGAAAACTTGGGAATCGATAAGGAGGGTTTCCTTGTAATGACTCTCACCAGGCATCAGTTCCTACCACAGGCATCTCTTCTATGGCAGCATACTGCGAATGCATGCTTGGATGCCACCCAGAAATGATGATTAAGTATTTAGGAGCAGATTGTGGCACCGTGTCTCACACGCAGTGCCACTTCTCTCCACTGAATTTAGTAGGGCAATGCATAGAGTATGGTGCTCTGCAACAGGAGCAAAGCTGGCAAAGTCTGGCTCTAACCCAGGCCCTTCCAGTACACATGGTATTTTGTGGAGATGTGAAACACCGAAAAGCTTATACCAGGGGAGCTAGAGAGTGCAAACACTCAGTAGTGGCTACAGGACCTCCCATTGTAAGCACTGCTCCTATTGACTTCAGTGGGACTAACCAGATTTTTTTCAGAGCTCCAAGTACAGACCAAGCAGGACAAGAGAAGACCATTGAATATGAGTGTGCATGTGAAGTGGACTTGGGAAAAGTTAGCTATACCAGCAGGACTCTGCAGTCACCCTGCTCAGTTGTGTGCTTTTCTTGCTTGCCTTAGTTGTGAAAGCCCATAGGAGGAAAGGTTTATCAATGAAAGCATGCATCATTTCCAAACTTTCAGCTGAGGGGATGCTGGGCAAGGAAAGGGTTGGGGGGAAGAAGCTGGATTTGGAAGGAGGAGGGAAAGGAAGAGAAGGCGCTGACAGGGGAACGTGCACAAAGTAAGCACGAGCGTCCTTAACTAGGCATGATCCTTGGTTGGATCTTGACCAACCATAATCTTTACATCTTGGGCAAAAAGCCACTGGGCTGCAAATCAGACCCCTGGAGAACAGGTCAAGGCAAAAGTCATGGAGGAAATTCAAGAGCAGAGGAGGCATCAGTTGGACCAATGTAAATGGCTCAGCTGGCTCGGTGAAGGAGTATCGTTAGCTAATATTACTGATGCCTGTGCCAGCTTAGTGCCATGGACAAGTATAAGCCTCCAGTTTCCCAGGAGATCAAGGAAGCACTTACTCAGTCCTCTCTCTCCTGCACCCAGGTACATGTGCTCCTCGATCATTCAGCGAGCCATGGTTGCTCCCATTGTCTGGATCATAGTCACCCTCCTCGATGGCAAATGCTTCATCTGCGCTTTCAGTGGCTCCATTGACCCTGAGAAGTTTGCAGGCTTTGCCAACCTTACCCAGATGCAGACACAGCTCCTCCTCTCCAAAGTGCCCTGCAAAGACGATGAACTCATGAGAAACAACACCTCCCGGAAGGCCGTCTCCAGGTACCTGAGATGCTGGTCGCAAGTAAGTCAGAGCCTTTCTTAAGGGCATGTAGAGCAGTCTAGGGAACTGCAAGCTGCTCCTTCCAGAGCTGGTGTGAGCTTTGCCATGAACTAAACCTGGAGCAAGATTGGGCTCCACTTCCCTGACACTGAAGGGGTCCATCTTCACAGTCACCCACGCAGGGTAGCAGAAAAGTAGAGCACCGTCTTGCTGGTTGGCACCTAGATGCAGCAGAGGATGGTGACTTAATGTACAAAATAAAGAATATTGCACACAACAGATAGCCAGACAAAGGCAAACAAAGTGTTAGGGATTACTGAGAAGGGAACTGTAAACCAAATGGAAACCATCATAATGCCCCTTTATAAACCTATGGTGCGTCCACACCTTGAATACTGGGCCCAGTTATGGTCCCCACACCTCAAAAAAGATCTAGAAAAACTAGAGAAGGTCCAGAAAAGGACAGGAAGGAGGAGTCATGGTACGGACTATGGAGGGGCTTCCATACGACGAGAAACTAAAGAGACTAGGCCATTTCAGTTCAGAAGAGATGCTTGG